TGGATTGCGCGCGGGGCGGTGCGGTGAGGGGGATAGCGGGAGGCGGAGCCGACTCGAAAATCGACCGAAATGTGCATTTCGTGCCGAGCCCTGATCTAGGGAAAACCGAATAATTCCGATCGGAGTTCATTCCGACATGTTCCATGACAGGTACCCTGAACGGAACTGGAACGGAATGCTCAATTCTAGAAAGAAGTCCGATCCGTGTTAATGGGACTTTAAGTCCGGATCTACAATAGGTTTTTAAGCCTTAAGCCATAAGAAATGGACAAATCACAGTCAATTATTAACCTCGCATTCGATTTTAATTGGTCAAATTCTTATGGTTTAAGGCTTAAAACGCCTATTGTAGATCCGGACTAATGTCTGTTCTATAATAATGTCGCAAGTCATAAGCCGTAAAAAATTGACCAATCACAGTTGAATATGACAAAACTAATCGCCTATGATTGGTTAATTTCTTACGACTTGTAACTCTATTGTAGAACAAGCTTTAGGACTCCCGCAGACAAAATTTCTGTAACAGTAACCTTAAGACGCGAACTTAAGCCGATGAGTCAATCAGGATACTGCTTTAGATCTGTGTACTCTAACGGAAACAGAAATAGCAGTAAACTTATCCATAAGGCGAGTTTCAACCGATTGAAATTCACCTTATTGCGAGATTATGGATAAGTTTACTGTTACATTCATTTCCGTTAGATTACGTAGACCTAAAGCAATATCCTAATTGGCTCATCGGCTTAAGTTTACGTCTTACGATCACTGTTACGGAATTTTGTATGCGGCAGCCCTAAAGGATCATCTACAATAGGGATCCGTTACCGTGATGTAACCGTAAGAAATCCGTAGATCACCGTAGAAGCGCTAAGAGTTTAATTTTTTGAACTCTTACGGCTGTATTAACGAAAGTTAGGTTAGAGACTGTGAGCGAAGAACTGAGTTCTATTTTCTGCAGAGCGAATAAATTGCAATAATGCTTTATAAATCGGATGGGGTTTTAATCGATTTGATTGAGAAGTGTAGTCACTTATATAATAAAAACTGTCCTGACTATAAAGATCGTGTTAAAACACAGAATTCATGGCAGTCATTCGGGTAAACTTAAAAAATTGCTTGTGGTCATTATTTTTAAGGAATTGAAAAAGAATAAAAAAAATGATCTTTTTGTTTACGCTCCAACAGCATTGGCCGAACCCAATATTTCTTTTTCGAATTGTTTTCCTCTTTTTCCGTGATAATTGCATCATTATTGCAACCAAATTATAAACCAAAAGAGCTATATTTCTAATTCGCTCAACATATATTATATAAAATTGAACTTTCGATTTAGTTGTCAAAACGCAAAATTCAACTTTCAATTTAGTTGTCAAAACACAAATACTATGAAGCAGGTTAGAAATGACTCTTTTACGATTCGTTAAGTTAACGTTACGTTACGGTTACAGACAGCCATTGTAAACTATACGGGGTAGATTTCTTACGTTACCAATTACGGGGGGTTACGTTACGGTTACGAATTCCTATTGTACCTGTGCTTTAAGCCCGGATCTACAATAGGTGTTTTAGGTCTTAAACCGTAAGAAATTGACCAACTACAGTCAAATGCGAGGAGAATAATTGATTGTGATTTGTCCATTCCTTATGGCTTAGGCCTGCCGCAGACAAAATTTCTGTAACAGTAACCTTAAGATGTGAAGTTAAGCCGATGAGCTAAACAGGATACTGCTTTAGGTCTACGTAATCTGACGGAAATAGAAATAGCAGTAAACTTATTCGTAAGACAAATTTCAACTGGTTGAAATTTGCTTTATTGATAAGTTTACTGCTATTTCTATTTTCGTCAGATTACATAGATTTAAAGCAATATCCTGATTGGTGCATCTACTTAAGTTTACACCTTATGTATACTGTTACGGAATTTTGTCTGTTACAGCCCTTAGGGTAAATCCACACAAACTTGCATAGCCGCATAAATGTATGCATAAAGAAAATTATCCAGTTGTATTTCTTACATAAAGACGCATGTAAAGTGTGATTGGATAATTTTCTTTATGCATATGTTTATGCGGCCATACATGTTTGCGTGAATATATTCTTAGACCCGGCGTATATCATAATCAGAGATAAATCTGAGAAAGACTATAGCGGCCTTTTTCCTATTACCATCGAAATCGCCCGTACATTATCGCCGGTACATTTATTTTCAGTTTGAGAACTGCATGACTACGGGCGGTATCCATAGTCGATTCTTATATTCAAGACCATCTTAAATATTGTCTTAAGATGTCACGAACCAATCAAAGGACCGTATTCAGTGTTGTTAGATGGGATAGATTTCTGGCACTTGCGCGTCCAACATAGCTTCAGTAACGTACCGGTTATTAGTAAATAGGAAATCATTAGTCGCTTGGGACTGAAAATGTTGAAAATTTTAATATATTTTACATATTTTACATATATATACATATTGTTGCGCCCGATGCACGAGATTGCACTCAGATAGTAACGCGCGCTCCCGAGCCACGGAAATAAAGAGACTCAAGGCTTAAAGAGTAGGAAATAAGAAGCCGTTTATTCAGTAACGTCGGCACCACGAGATCGTCAGTACATAAGTAGCGTAACGATAATATGTGTAATCGGCGGAGAAGCACGTCCGTACGTCTTGACTGCTCTCCGAAGATCTGACAGCTGTTCACCGTCAACAATAGCACGTCGTCTTGACAGCGCGACATCACGGGTGTCAGCACAGCACGGCATGCGACGGAGCATGGCCGTAACACTGCCCCTCTTCTGAAAAATTGTCATCCCGACAATTCTCTGGCTCCAAAGTTTATGAAGAGTCTTCTCCAAGGAATTCTGGGCTCCGACCAATTCCTGCTCCCTTTCTGCGCTGCTGCGTCAGTTTTATTAGAGCCTGGTCTTTCTGGGACCCGTTTCCCGGACTGAAGCTTTCTCCTCCTTCTGGGCAAGACCCCTTTTCAGTTTTTCCTCCGGGGTTATCCAATCTCTCGGAGAAACACACTTGGGCATCCCCTCAACTTCACGAAGGAGGTGTACTTCCTCTTGACTCTTCTCTTGAGCTGTGCGTACTTGTCACTTCGTTTTTTGGACTAGGAGGGGAATGGTGAAAAGTTTTTCTGTCCACAGTACCTCTATTCCCAGTCCCCGTCTCGGCATTTGCCCTCCGTCTTGTGGAAAAACTGTGGATCAAAAACCACAGGCGAGACGGTCTTCTTGACAAAAAAATGTTCCAAACATATTTTTTCAAGAAGTTCTTGAAGACATTGGAGATGAAGGCTTATCTCTTCAATTCCGCTTCAAATCTCCGCTATCTTATTCAGTATGCGCCGTGTACGCCAGGTGTTATGTTCTCAACGCTCAAGACTGCCATATCCGCCGATATTTTATTTATTGTGCGCCTTGCACGCCAGATGTTCTATGTACAAGGCCGAAGACCATAATCTGAAACTTAACAAAAAGATCTTAGTATCACATATTTTTGTTTCGGTAAGGAATAAATTAATACTAGGCTCTAAATGATCATTCATCTATTATTTTTTTTATTTACTCCCTTTCTTCTTGTCTATCACAATAAGGTGCTAACCTATCCGTATGTACGATTTTATTTTTACACTTATTTGACTTGCGAATACAATACACGATATCACTGAGTTTCTTTACCACATAGTATGGTCCTTCCCAGCTGCTTTGCAATTTTGGAGCTTTACCTTTAACTCTTTGAGGATTGTATAACCAAACCTTTTGCCCTATACCTCAAAATGAATTCGCCTGGTTTTCTGATCATACCAGGTTTTAGTACGAGAAGATTTTATATCAACACGATTCCTAACCTGATTATGAATTTCCTCTAATTTCCTTTTAATCTTGCCTAAATAGCTATCCACTGACTTCCGGTACAGGAGGATTTCCTCGAAGCAAATCTATAGGAAGTCTAAGATCTTGAGCGAAATACAACTCTGCCGGTGTTACGCCGGTAGTTTCATGTTTTGAAGATCTATACGCCAATAAATACATTGGAATCCAGCGATCCCAATCCCTTTGATTCTCAGTCATAAATTTGGCTAAATAATTTAGAATTGTTTGATGTTGACGTTCCACTTGACCATCCGACTGGAGATGTAGAGCAGTCGTTCTCGTCTTTTTGATTCCAAGTAGTCGCGATAATTCCTGAAAAATCTTGGACTCAAAATTTCTTCCCTGGTCTGTATGAACTTCTAAAGGAATGCCATGCCTTGAGATAACTTGATTTAAAAAGGTTTCTGCAATAGTTTTTGCTCGAATATTTTTCAGAGGAAAAGCTTCTACCCATTTTGTGAAGCAGTCAACTACGACCAATAAATACTTATTTCCTGTAAGAGTTGTCGGAAGCGGACCAGGCACGTCCATTTGAACTCTCTCAAACGGAGTTCCAACGTTATAAATTTGAAACGGAGATTTTCCTTTTCCCGTCGGACCACTCCTAGCGACGCAAATATTACAAGATCTACACCAACTTTCAACGTCTTGTTTACAGGACGCCCAATAGAACCTTTTTCGAATTTTTTCTAAGGTCTTATTGATCCCAAAATATCCTCCTGACGGAGAATCATGTGCCTGTTTTAAAATCTGTTGAATCCGTCCGTTAGGAACCACTAATTGAGCAATGGAATCTCTCAGATTTGGTGCCTCCCACCTTTTGTAAAGTACACCGTTCCTAAGCTCTAAAGAATCCCAATAGGACCAGTAAATCTTAGCAGAAGCATCTCTGGATGCAATCTCCTGCCAAGAAGGTCGGATCCCAGTCTCCTTCCCTTGGAGAATAATTGCAATACTAGGATCCTCTAACTGTTCCTGTCGCCAGGTTTCACCATTGTCCTCAGCCAAGACAATCCGAGCAACAGAATTTTCTAATTTTACAATCTCTTTGATCTCAGTCCTTGCGCAATACTGACATTCAGTACCCGCACAGGGTCGTCTGGATAAAGCATCTGCATTCCCGTGAAGAATTCCTTTCCGATAAATGACCTGAAAGTCATATTGTTGAAGCCTTTCTGACCATCGTGCTAACTGGCCTTCCAAATCTTTGAAAGACATCATTTCAGCGACGCATGGTCCGTCCGCATCACAACTCCCTACCATATAAATAATGGTGGAATGATTTAATCGCTTCAACAATGGCCAAAAGTTCTCGCCGCGTCATACAGTAATTTCTTTCCGTTTTACTAAGGACGCGACTATAGTATCACCTTCTCCCCTCCGTTTTGATCACTGGACAAGGCTAATTAATGAAGGTTAACAGCGTTGACACTGTTAAAACAGGCTGTCAATTTCATTTTGATAATAAATATATGAAGACAAAACAAAATTTTTTGTCGTCATATATTTTTTTAAATTTGCCTTCTTCCCAGTATTTATGTAGAGGTCTACCTCCTCGATTCATGACTGCTAATTACTTGCTTAGTATTTATTTGTTTTATTTTGTAGATTTGGAATATGTAAATCAATATAATATAGTTTGAGGTTACGTTACAAGTGGACCGCAGCCTCTGTGCCCGTGTGATGTGGTGTGATGTGCACGCGACCAGCGCCATTTTACTACATGGCTGAAACTTATGATGTATTATACATAGTTTCATCCATGTATGAAACCACGTATGATACGTTGAGTTTGATACGTGCCCAACCCTGCTCCCTACCATACAAATAATGGAGAAATGATTTAATCGCTTCAACAATGGCCAAAAGTTCTCGCCGCGTCACACAATAATTTCTTTCTGTTTTACTAAGGACGCGACTATAGTAAGAAATCA